CTGCTGCAAGGGAAGTGTGAGAAGTGAGTGGATCTGAAAATTAGCATTGTCTGTAATTGTTGTCTAATATTTCATTAGATATTTGTCATGCTTGTATTCTTGTGAGAGTTTTCGTGTACTAACTCGTTATTTCATCTGACTCTATAAATGAAAAGGTTTTAATGATGTCTGTGCATCATTAAATGTAAGCGAATGACTATTCTTTTTAACTCTTTGCTGAAAATAATGTCAGTTAGAGTCCGTTAGAATAAAATCAAATGTTTACAATTTATTATGTCAGGTAAATGTATCATGCCAATTTCATAATCAGTTCAAAGATAATCAATACAATAACATCAAATGAGTAAAAGATGTAGGTTAAACCCAACATTTAAAAAAAAATACATAATGCTGAAGCCCTGAGGTCCTTCAACATTATGGGCTAATGTGAGTTACAAATAGTCTCTTGCTGCATTTCAAGGGTTAGTTCACCCAAAAATGAAAATTCTGTAAGTATTTACTCACCCTCATGTTGTTCCAAACATCTATGTGTTTATTTGTTCTGTTGAACACAAAGGAAGATATTTGGAAGAATGTTTTAATCAAACAGATCTCATGGGGAATGAATAATGTGTGATTCTGAATGCCAGCATTCACACCGGCGCGGTGACTGACAGCCTTACAGTCTCAAACATTGTGTTCATCCACGCTGTGCTGTTTCGAGGGTGTTGAAGTACATCTCGCGTAAAGTTGATAATTCCGCGAATGACTGCAATTGCAGATTTCGAACAGAGAGGGCGACAAAGGGGAAAAACGCTGGACTGCAGTTTTAAGGTTTTTAAAAGTGACTTTGTAAAAAGTAGAAAGTTTCTGATCCAGTTCCATTCTTTTCTATTCCTTGTTTGTAGATGTCAGTGTAACGCCCATGCAGACACCTGTAATGAGCATGATGGCACTGGCTGTCCTTGCCAGAACAACACAGAAACTTCATCCTGTCTGAGCAGCCCACAGAATGACCGCAAAGAGTGTTACAGACAACAGGTAATGGTCAATTCATTACAACCAATGAGATTTTATTCTGTATTTCACAAATAAGACCTTGCATGCATTAATCCTATTTGTGCTTCTAGTGCGCCAAGTGCAAAGATTCATTCAATGGCAATCCAGTAAATGGGCGGCAGTGCTACCGGCAGTTCAACGTGGACAGTGAGTGCTGCTTCGATCCCACGTCACAAGTCAACTGCTTTCATGAGCCCAACATCCGCAATCTGCTCATGGGCCGCACAGTGTTCTTTTCTGCCCAGCCCAAGTTCACAAACGTGGATATCCGTGTCACCATTGACGTTACATTTGGAGAAGTCGAGGTCTACGTATCCAACTCGCATGACACCTTCATTGTGGAGGTAGACCGGCAGACCGGTGTGCATACCATCAAAATTGAGGACGAGGCCACCTCTGCGACCGCTTCACGGGGAGAAAAGGAGGTTCCTCTCGCTCCACCGTCGCCCATGAAGGTGTTTGCGAACTCCTCGTCGGCATTGCTCGGCACTCTGCAGGCTACAAAGTCTCAAGGTACAGATCGTGAGGTGCGGGAAGAACGAACCGAAGGTCTCATAACCTACATCACCGTGTGGAAGCCACAGACAGTATTAATTGTACGCGGTGTACGGGACCGCGTGGTCATCACCTTCCCGCACGAAGTGCACTCGCTCAAGTCCAGCCGTTTCTATATCGCCCTACGAGGCGTGGGCACGGAGACCCATAACGGAGAGTCTCAAGGCCTCCTCTTTCTACGTCAGGACCAGGCCCACATTGACCTCTTCGTCTTTTTCTCTGTCTTCTTCTCCTGCTTCTTCCTCTTCCTGTCCGTCTGCGTGCTACTCTGGAAAGTCAAGCAGTTCTTAGACTTCCGCCGGGAGCAGCGACGCCACATTCAAGAGATGACCAAGATGGCCTCTCGCCCATTCGCCAAACTCACCGTCTTTCTAGAGCCCGAGGAGCCGCAGCTGGTTTACTTGCCTTCTACCGGAGGGGGCAGTGCCGTATCCCTGGCCCAGGTCCGGACAGGCAAGCTTGGTGGCATGGTGATGGGCCAGAGGGGGCGACCTGGAGCTTTGTCCTACAAACACGACCCCAACACAGGCACTACCATTCACCTCCACCATCACCACCATCTCGCTTTGAGTGGAGGCACCAACGGACAGCACCTTCCTTTGCACTACCTGAATGCTCACCACTATGCGCCCAGCTCTACGGCCAACCCAGCCTCGCATCACCACCACCATCATCCGTCCTCGCATGGCAGCTACCAGCATTTCTGCCGCTCCGACCCCTTCCTTTCTCAACTCATGGGTTTTTCGTACTCGTCCTTCAAAGTTGGACCAATCACTCTGGAGCCCACAGACGACGGGATGGCAGGGGTGGCCACTGTGCTCATACAGCTGCCAGGAGGCATCCTTGCACCCAACCGGGCCTGCTTGGGTTCGGCGCTCGTCACTTTGCGACAGAATTTGCAGGAGTACTGTGGACATGGTGGAGCAGGAACGCACCCTGGTGCTGGGGGCGGCCGAAAAGGCTTGCTGGGCCACCAGCATCTAACCACCATGGCCATGTGAGGAGAACGTAATGAGATGGGAAATGAGTGGGAGAAAGACTTTGAAAAGGGACAAAAAAACAGTGGAGGGAGTTTTCATAAGCAAGGAAGGACAAAGGAAGTTGCAAAGATTTCAAAGGGACCGTTCACCCCAAAAATGAAGCATTTGCTCACCGTTATGTTGTTACAGGAATTACTTTTTTTGTCCATGCAATGAAAGTCAAAAACAGAAAGACAGCAAAATAAAATGAAATTGGTTCCCATTGACTTTCATTGTATGGACAAAAATACTTAGACATTCCAAAAAATCTTCTGTTGTGTTCGTCTGAAAAAAACATACAGGTTTTGAATGACATGAAGGTGAGCAAATTACCATTTTCATTTTCAAGGTAAACTATCCCTTTCGTTTTGGTTTGCTTTGTTGGGGCTACAAAAGGGATGTATTTATTACAGGAGAGAAAAAAGGTAAATCATAGGAAATGAGATTTGTACATATACTGTAATTAATTAAGTGTTGTTTACTTGTTTATCAGTCCTAACAAGCTCCTATATTGACTTAAGGCAGCAACCTTTATGCAATGCCCTACTTTTATCTCCATGCTTTACTGCGTTCTGTATACACACTACTGAAATAAGCTCTACAAGACGATGACAACGGCATGACATATCAACCGGTGAAGATGTTGTCTTTGCAGCTGAACCAATGTGCTTTATATGTTCATGTGACAATCTGAACTGCCATCCAAACCAAGAGACGGTGCAACATGTCCGCTTGAATGTGCAAAACTTTGATTGTCTGCAAAAAAACGTGGACTGATGTTGTAAAAAATGTAGTTGTAATGCTTTTGTTACTGGTATTTTGTCATGGCTGTGATTGATTGATGCTTCCTGTAATATAGCAGATTTGAATCTAGTCAATAGGTCAATAGTTTCATGGTGAGCCATTGGCTTTTTTATACATATTCATTCAGACTGAAGATGCATTTCAGACTGTCAATCAACAACTTACATGTCCTTTTTGTTTGCATTGATGAAATGCCTTTACTCACTTTGCCTTGACAAGACGTTTTGTATTGAATTTAGACGGAATTTCTATATGAGTTTCGGCCATTAATCTGTGCTGCAATTATGAGATCATACATATATATATATATATATATATATATATATATATATATGAGGGAATAAGCTGATTAACCAAGGGCCCATGCAGAAAAGTACTTAACAAATCACATTGTGAACGAAATGAAGGATACTATTTTCTTTTTCTGAAACAGATTTTATTTTGGACAGATTTTTTTTTCTGTTCCCTTCTTACACTACTTCGGTATCAACAACTGTTGAATATTTCATATTACTTAAATCTTTGTAGGACAATGGGATTAATTAAATTTATTGCCCAATTTTAGTTGCTGCAGCATTCTGATGGGTCATGTTTAGCCTGATGTATGAGATCTTTCGAACAAAAAGTGCAATGGAAATTTTAAACCTAAAATATAGTATGCTCCTGGTGAGACACTACAAGGTAATAAAATAAAATGAAAACATTACAGTTAGGTCTTTACATGTATGGTGGTTTAGCGTTTGTATTGCCATTTATATGGAGTCACCATTGTTTTGTTTATTTGTTGTTTTTTGTTTTGAGGATGATTATTTTCCACTGTGTTCTGACTTGTATTTATGTAGGTTAATAAGTTACTTTTTCTCTTTTTTTTTCCTTTTTTTTTTGATGGTGAATTATAAGATACTATGAAAAGTGTTCATTTGAAATAATGGTTATTTAATGTAGATAATAGAAACATAACAGGAGAAGCCATATGTTTTATCTCAGATGCTGCAGCACAAGGGATAAAGCAATCTTCAGCTGACAGTTGTTTATTTTGTTTTTTGGTCATTAAACCAGGTTTGAATATGGTAAAGAAAGTTTTGTGTTCTGTTCTGTCATTTCCAAATGCTTTTACAGTTTTTACTGTGGTTGACACACATGCCTTTGATGCTTAACAGCAGTTTGTCCATAATAAAATATCACCCATTAATGGAAACAGGGTTTGTTGTGTTGGGTTTGTTCCTGCTTTAAAACTTTCTTCTTTTAAAAATGAGATGTGCTCTAAAAAATGGCACACTGCTGTGTGGAAGAAAAAAACAGTAAATGCACATTTGATAAAATGTTAGGTGTGATTAAAATTCTGTCTCTTACACGAGTGATCTTTCCTGTAATACATTGATTTGCATCGAATATGATTAGATGCATAGAAAACGGTGTGAAAATGACCTGAAAACATTTTATTTTATCAAGTTTAAAATGTATTTTATTTGGGTACGAGTCTTTTAAATGTATTTTCTTATTTAAAGAGAATACAAACAAAACAATCGTTCACGAACTTTTATTTTGAAAACTGCAACCGCGTTAACCTTATTTTGAAATGCATCATCGTTGCTGGCTTTACATTGATTTTAACTAAACCAGTATCGTTTTTACGTATTTCAGACCTGGACGCATTTGCAAACTGCGTTATGTCCCTGAGAGCTAACCTCCTAATCTCCTAGTATAATTTGACGTGTTGTTAGTGTAGTTCTCGGGGTGGATGGATGTACAAGACGCCTGTTTAAGGTGTAGGATGCTGCACACTAAAGGCTGTCAGTGTCAAAAATCCTTAAGACAACCAACACAATCGGATTTTCATTGCCGCCAAAATGCAACCGATTAATTAAAGGTTTAGTATTTGCGGTAAGATGATTTTGTGCTTTTCTTAGTCAATACGACCCTCATGTTTACATCTGCATGTCTGCAACCAGCTAATACTGTTACTGTCGCATTAGCTATATGAACCTCCCTGATTAAAATGCCTGCTTATAAACATAAACTAGCTTGAGGTGGATTTCTGGTTTTAGTAGCAGGTGTCACAGCCAGGTCAGGCAGTCGTCTTGGCTGGTTTTGCAGAGTCTTGCTCACCTTTCAAGTTTGTATAGACTGTTAGACCACCTTTAACCTACATGTTCCAAAACATAGCTTTTCCAGGCAAATTTTGTTCAAATCCATATGCGTTACTTCCTACTGGAATTTGAGATTAGAGAACAGAATTATCAACCTAATAAATTGGGTGATAATTAAAAAGAAGAAATTGTACATACAATAGTAATACAATCATAGTATTTATGCTATTCCAGGTATTTCTTGTAAGTAAAACTATAGACTATATTATTGTCCTTCCCAAATATTTCTTTAGGTTGTGCACAAGAAGATGAAAGCTAACATGTTAAAGAAAAGAAAGTTATCCAGACAAAAGAAAATAGCCAAACAGCTGCAAAATGTTGATAAAGAGCCATTGCCATCAAATAGTGATGGCATCAGTATCGACACAGATAAAACCAAAACATCTACTGACACTCAAGACTGTGTTATGGATGCCTGTCCTGAGGTCAAAAAAATGAGACCGGAACAAGAAGAGCTGGAGGCTTTGGGAGTCCTAACAGTGTCTTCTGAACAACAGAAGCAACAGCCTCATCCTCCTGCTTTCAGAGCATTAGTTCCAAAGACAGAACCAGACTGTGTCCCCTTAAACCCACCCAGTTTTCAGGTTAAAACTGAGCCTGGCATTTATGAAGTGCTGCAGAGAGAGTCTGCCTTGATTGTGAAGGAGGAAAATGAGAGTTGGAAGGAAGTGAAGCTTGAGACACCAGATGAAATCTCCGTGGGTGCTTCTGGCCTGGAGAAAAACACAGGTAATTGATTTTTTTTTTAAGAAGTCTTGGTTTTATAATTTGCACAGTTTAGATGTGTTAAAAGGAAATTGTGGAGACTTGTTAAAATTCTAAAGAAATACTGCTTTTTTGTTAATTTTGTTTTCATTTTTTCACCATTATTTTAGATTAGTTTGGGTGACAGTATAGTTTAATGTTCTAAAGTTTTTTTTAGAGCTAAAAAAAACCAGATACATCTAATGTAAATATTTAATTTGATATAATGAAATTAAATAAAAAAAAATGATTATTACTGTAATGTACATTTATTTATTTATTTATTTATTTTTATAAAAGTTAATGGATGTATTAATTTATTTTTGGTTCCTTCAGTTATGCAAGTTTTTATTTCAATCTACATTTTCATTTCATTTCTGACTGTGAACTCTTCCTGTTAGTGGCATATGGTTTAATGGATACCGACTGTATAAACTTTTTTATAATGGAAGATAACAATAATTGGATAATGATGAATACAAATAAATAATTGTGACATTTATTTAAAAAATATAGACAAAAAATGTAGTGCTATTTTAGATTTCATTTCATTTCATTTCATTTATTTATTTATTTCAACAGGGACAATGTGCAAAAAAACATTAATTAAAGATGCTTTGCACCAGATTTAGCTTAAGCTAGTTTCCATCTGTAGTCCCCGAGCAGGTGAATTACAATACAAAATATACAATATAAAATGTTATAATTAGTCACTTAAATACAACTATCTATCAATTCATTCATTCATCATTCTCTATTTCAACCATCAATAAAACCTCACTAAAAGTCATATTTACATACATAATTATCTATGCTGGCACAACTGGTTGTTCAATAGTACTTTCCTTATATTGATAGAAAAATCCTTCAGGTTAAAAGTGAGTTTTAGAGCCTTTGGGAGTTTGTTCCATTCTTTAATGCCCTTGAATGAGAAGGCTGTCTGTGCAAAGGCCGAGCTACATTTAGGCAGCCTGCAATCATTGCAACTTGTGGACCTGGTACTCCTAGTCATCTTTTTAGAGCAAAACTGTACAAACGTTTTTAGGGGAGGAGGCGCAATATTATTCAAAATTTTAAAAACTAATCGCACATTGGCATACACAATTAAATTGTCAAAGTTTAACATACTGTATTTTCTAAGAACCAGACAGTGATGATATCTCAATGTTTTTTTATCTAAAACTTTTACAGCTTGATTATATAAAGATTTTAAAGGTTTTACTGCCGTTTCACTAGCCTGTGACCAACAAGAAATACAGTAATTAATATGAGGAATTATCATTGCCTCCAGGTAAATTAGTTTTTGAGTTAAGAAAATGTATTGCATTTAGTTTCAGTTTGTAACGATGTTCAGATGTTATGGGAAGGAGGAGGCTGGAACCGCCCAACATTTCAAGATTTTGAAAATAAATAAAACAAAAAATCAAAATGAAAGTATAAGCCAGCAGTCCCTTGCAGATGACTGCTGGCTACACAAAACAAACAAAACATAACATAAAATCAGGCCTGTTCCTCTCTCGATCTTCACTGTCGTCGCTCCTCCTTTATGCCTCCGGTCCACCGTGAGAGATACGAGACCGTTGCATAAGTGTCGTTCATTAACAATCATGCCACCGGCCTCACGCTATTCTCCCACGGCCCTCGGCCTCGTAATGCTCGCCACATACCCACATTGCCCCTCGCAGGCCGGGGGGACTGGTCACGGTGGCCATGGCACCTGGGGGTATGGATAGACGAGCGGAGAGAAAAGGAGACCGAAGCATAAGGAGCGACAGATATGAAAATCTTGGTCCGGTTCCCGGACACACTGCCGCTTGGTTCTCAGCCAGCTGAGAGACTCAATCGTGGTCCCATGCGATGGTACTAGACATCCGCTGGGAGACGGCTCAACGCTCCTCTGTTTCGTGGCGGACGGCGATGGCTCCTCCAGGCGAAGGCAGTCGGAAACGAGTCCTCCGTTCCCTGCTCCGCCCCCATCAGGCTCCAGTCCACGGCGAATGGGAGTGTAAAATAACCACTCCCTCTCCGATGGCAAGCACCTCTCCTCGACACAGGAGCACGGCAGCGAGGTCTCTGTCCCACCTGCTGTTAAATCGCTCCAGCACCATCACCTCGGGCAACAATCAGCAGCCATTGCTCCCTCGTGCTGCCCGACTTCCTCAGCCCCCCGATCCTCCTCAACAGCAAGGGCTCTCCGACAGCATGTCCCTCCTTCTTCTCGGGTTTCGGCACCAGTGTAACAAGGTTCAGATGTTATGGGAAGGAGGCGGGAACCAGCAAACATTCAACAATTTGTAATAACATAAAATAAAACTAATACAAAATGAAAGTATAAGCCAGCAGCCCCTCGTGGACGACTGCTGGCCAAACAAAACACAACATAAAATCCAGACTTGGCCTCTCTCGATCTTCACTGTCTTCGCTCCTCTTTATGCCTCCGGTCCTCTGTGAGATATACGAGGGCGGTGCTTCGTGCAGGTGTCGCTCATTAACAATCACGCCACCGGCCTCGTGCTGTTCTCCCACGGCCCTCAACCTCGGCCTGCTCGCCACACAGGTCTTCCAGTTATATATGCGTTGATTTCACTCTGTTTTTGTTGTAGTTTTCATTAACATTAATAACACTGCCTGTTAATTGATTTGAGATCATAACCTAAACCTAAGAAGACTTGACATTTGACATTCGAGTTATTTCTTGTCTCTTTTTCCCTTCACAGCTTCTTCCTCTCTGGTTTTTCCTTGCCCCCATTGCACTGTGACTTTCACTGATTTTACATACCTGGACAAACACCTCAAATGGTGCCATCAAGGTGAATATCTGGCTTGGGTAAAAAAACACAAAGTCTACAACTGCTCTAAAATATCCTCTGGGATGCTCAGCTGCTCGTCATGTCACTATCGGTTCTTCTCTCAGAGGCAGCTGAAGACCCACATGCGCAAGGCCCACCTACCCACGCCCAAACCCACCCGAAAGCGTTACACATGCCCGCAGTGTGATCGCAGCTTCGATTACATCGGTAACCTGCAAAACCACTGCCACAGATGCCATGGCTTAGCCACGGTGTGTAAAGATGGACATATTAGCTGTGCCGCATGCGGTAAAAGCTTTGCCGGAATCTGGGGTCTCGGACCACATCACTGCCACGAAGAGGACGAGAGGAAACCCACAGTGGGCGTTGACGAACCTGTTTGCACGGACCGTGGCTACTTGTGCCGAGATTGTGGAAAGAACTGCTCTACGCTTCAATGTCTGACGATACACAAACGTACTCACACGGGCGAGAAGCCGTTCGTCTGCGAAGACTGCGGCCGTAGGTTCATTGATAAGGGGAGTCTGCGGAAGCACAAAGTCATCCATACAGGGATCCGGCCGTTCAAGTGCCCCGAATGCGAAAAAGAGTTTGCCAGGATGGCCCACCTTAGATGCCATCTGCGAACCCACACGGGGGAAAGGCCATACCAGTGCCCCCAATGCGGGATGAGTTTCAGCCACCGATCGACGCTTCGTATTCACCAAGATGTTCACTCTAAAGATAAAACATTCCCGTGCCCCGACTGTGGCAAAACTTTCTCTGCTCTGAGGTACGTGAAAGTCCACCAAAGAGCGCACAACTCCGAGCGAATGCTGCAGTGCAGAGAGTGCACAAAGACATTTACAAGGGAGGACGTGCTCAAGAAACACTTGCGCATTCACACGGGCGAGCGGCCGTACTACTGTAACGTCTGCAGCAAACGGTTCGTCCGTATCCAACACCTGAAGAACCACATGCGCACACACACTGGCGAGAAACCATACCGCTGTGAGCAGTGCGGCTCCAGCTACGCGCAGTCCGGCGATTTGACCAAACACATGAGACGCCACACGGGGGAAAAACCCTACGCCTGTTCTGACTGCGATCGTCGCTTCAACAACTCAGGCGACCTCGGCAAGCACAGGCGCAGTCACACGGGCCACAGACCCTACAAGTGTACGGAGTGCGGGAAAAGTTTTCTTCTGCCCCAGCACCTGAAGTTACACAAGCAAACGCACACGGGCGAGAGGCCTTACAGCTGTCCGCGGTGTCTCCGCACTTTCACTCGCTCACACCATCTTTCTCAACACATGAAAAAGCATATATGAGGATAAGGAGTCTGGACCACTTTCGTTTCATTTGGGCAAATGGATTGGGTGTTTATTGATGAATTGGAAATGAGTTTAATTCTTAAAAGTAGCTGAATCCAGGTGCATAGTCTTCCTTTCTGGACTACCCTTAAAGGGGTAGTTCACCCAAAAATAAACTCGCCCCCAAACCTGTATGAATTTCTTCCTTCTGCTGAAGACAAACGTAGATATTTTGAATGTAATCTCAGATTTGGCTCAGATTATGTAACCAAACAGTGACCAAACGTTTGGTTGCATATAATCTTTAAAATATTTACTTGAACAACTTGAGGGTGAGTAAATGATGACAGAATTTTCATTTTTGGGTGAACTCCCTTTAAAGGTTTAGCATATAGTTATTTTGCATGCTCAACTCCATTGGAGACATTAAATGAATAGAATGGTTAATGTATCTTGGCAGCACTAATTGTAAAATTATTTAAAGTTCATATTTAACCATTTGAAGACACTGATGGTTCATAATGATGAACCAGAATATAAAAAAGTGCTGTGGCATAATAATAATAATGATAATCTATGAGCTTTATGATGGAAGTATTTAAAGGCTGCATCTATAAAGTGAGATCAAAATTTCTCTTTTTGCTCAGCACTCGAGTCATCTGAAAATATGATTAAAAGATGAATAAGTCAAAGGTACAGAATGTTTTAGTTCTATTTTTACATGTTGCCAAGTGTGAAAGCAGTTGCGTTAGTATAAAAGTGACATGCACTTTTGCCTCATATTCATCTTTTAATATTTTCAGATGCTTTGTGTAGAGCAAAAAAGCCATTTTGTTTTTACTATCATAATGCTTTATGGAGGGCACTGTATATTTGTGTGTTGAATTTTCATCATGTAAATTCTGTAATGGGTTGGTTATTTTAAAGTTTATTGTCGTAGTTGATCCTAAAATCCCTCAATTTATGGTTACTGTTCAATGCCAAAGTATTTCAAATGTAAGATAATTTAATAATTATTATTGTGGCTAGTTAAGATATGTTTATGGCTTGAAGCACTGATAACTTGGTCATACTGATGTAATATAAAAATCAGTATGAAGCTCTATACGATATAAGTTCCTAATTTTTCTGTTAATTTAGAAATGTGCTCTCTAAAATGTACTCGGTGGTTTCGTCATTGTATTGGCTTGAACTGTGCATCTGAAACTGTATTTGTCTTATCTTAAATAAAGAGTAAAATACAATATACTAATCATTGCCATCTTGTCTAAAACATTGTCTTTTTGCCTTTCCTTCTCAGCTCGTGCAGAGACTACCAAAGCATTGTCGCAGTCTGTGCAAACGCTTAAAGCCAATAGATGGATCACTTGGTCAAAGGGCCTGAACAGGTCTGCTTCAGTCAATGTTGGGGGAATAGCCCTATTATTTTTATGTCTGCGATTACGAGGACAGCAGCGTGACTGGTGCACCAACACAGATAACAAAGATGTATTTAGGGCTAAATAATATTGAGTCTACCTTTGTTTAAAGCTGGAATCAATACTTCTTAAAGCATGTCCATTTTTCATTTAGCAAGCCTCTTGTCTGAGAGGAGGGTCAGGGAGATGTATGGAAGGGAGCGTGTTTTAATTCTCTCTGTTGCTGTAGTATAATAATAATTGTCAGAACAAGCACGGCTTCTAAAGATCGGGTGATAGGGAGGTGAGCCACGCACAAAATTAATAGATTTGGAAAATTGAGACAGATTATGTGACAGGTTTTTTTCCCCCCTCACAAGATTTTCTTGTCTTACAGGGTACAATGAGAAATTACCATTGGAGACTGTAACATGGGTAACATTTTTGAGTTTTTGAATACACTCTCCAAATACTGCTTTTGAATGGTACTGGCTATTAGTCCCTCTATAGAAACTACATTTTTATAAATTGCAACACGTTTCAATTTGGTAGCAGTTCCTCCTTTGGGGCACCAGGGGGAAACAGATATCTGTCAATGTGTGCTTTTGGGAATTAGGATGTGCTTGGTGCCATCTGTCTCCTGTGTTTCTCACTCATCACACAGTGAGACAGCCTCCTGGGTTATTTCACACAAACAAGTGAAAAAGCACAACGGCTTCTAATGCGTAACATGTAATTCTGTTTGTGCTACTTCCTTGTCTCCGTCAAATTGTGATTATAAAATCAAACTTTTTCTACACAGAATTTGTGTTCCGCTGCGCTGCTTTTACATATTTTTTTGTAAACATGCTCTAGTCGGACATCTTTGTCTGTCCCGACTCGTGAATTTTTCAAGATAGTGGTAGCTACAGGTTGGAGTAATGGGCGTGCCAAAATTTTGGCATGCCCCTTAACTTTTGTCACACGATTACTCCAACCTGCAGGTACCCACATTTTGAGAAGCCGACTTTTCTTTGCGCTGCGTCGCGTTTTTAAATGCACGACCACTGTTTATGTGACTCGGCTCTTAACGTCACCTTGAAATAAAAGTAGACAATTCTTGTTTTTTTTTATAGAATATTCTCTTGCAAAGACATCTTGTTTGACTCTGATGACTTGTTTACTGGCGTGAGGGCAGGGCAACCTGTCACTCAAATGAGATCACAGCAATAGTAATCCACAATGATCTTGTTAATTCCTGATGAAATCATGTCCCACCCTATATTTTTCATAAATATATCACAATATGAAAGAAAATACTATTTCAAACTTCCGTTTATGCCAACTTTAAGGCTGGAAATGGAAACTGCACGAGTTGAATCTGAATATGAAGAGATTTTAAAACAAAGGCACACTTTTCATACACTTACCGATATTGTAATAATAGTTATGGTGAATTTCCCTAATGTGGGACACTGCCTAATGTGGGACACCTAATGTTTAGTGTTTGTAGGTCCCCCATAAATACATGAATGACAGTGAAAGTATGGGTTAGACAAAGCTGTGGTGTCATGTGATCAAAATGTCAAATCAAATGTCTAATCATATTTGAGGGTGGAGTAATCATCAAACAGGAGACATCTTGTGTGAAGACCATCCGAAGGTTAATGACATAGTTTTAACAAATTTGAACTTGCAATAGAGCACTAATATATAATTTCTCTTATGAATGGGTTATCTGAATTTTCTCTTTTGATTTGATTAGGACACATACTAGGGGTTTTAAAATGGTATTGGGTGTGGATTTAAGGTTTTAGTTACACATCGCAATATGTCACAGAAGTCTCAAGTGCAAAAAATGTCCCACATTAGGGCAATTCACCTATAAAAACTGAACTTCATTCACTAAACGACTATCAGACTTTCGAGTAGTTCCAAATGTTCTCATGCAGAAACATGCTCCATGATGAAAATGTGTTCTGAATATACTCAATATTAGCTCAATATACAGTATCAAACATGTTTGAGCCCCTCTTAATGGATGGAATCATAGTCTGAAGTTAAAAGGTCTGTGCCCATTATACACTAAGCGATTTTCTGACTGCCCAAAATCTGCAGACTTTCTACAACTTGACAAATCTGGGTGAAAATCTAAGCAAAATCATTTAGTATAGTCCAGCCTTTAGTTCTCTGCATTATATGCTAACAAATGTGTTGACTTATTTCCCGAGATCATAGTTTGATCTTTAACCTCTTTTATGTATGACCTATATGTTCTTTTGTAAAATGCTCCATCAACGGTCAGTGTTGAAACTCTAATACCCTTTATTTGACTGACCATCTCTAGAATACTCTGAAATTGAATAACTTCAATGTTGAATTAAATAAGAGCCCTCTTGCACATTTTTTTTTACCTATCTCCAATTTTTTTAGATGTAATTCCAACAATCCAATTTTCACCATATTTTCTCTCAATACTCTTGTCAATTTGCTGAAGGAACACATTGTTGGCTTTGGTGAGCCGGTGTCACAGTGTCGTCTCGCTGCAGTGGTTTTGGTGCTTGTTGGCCTCAGAGGTCAGTGTGTGGGAAGAGCCGCCGGCTTTCGGGGTCTTCAGGGGGCTTTAGGGCGGCTGCGTCTGTGTCCCATTGGGCTCAGCCAAGCCCAAATCCACTTCTCTCATTCATGAAAGGGTTACAACAGAGGTCAAATCACCACTTTCCACTCCCTGCGAACAACACAAGCCGTGCGTGAGGGATGGTTCATGTAGGCGTCGATGAAACTGTGTACTTTAGGTTTTCTTCTTTTGGTCATGGTACTTTCTTGGCACATATTAAGTGCACAAAATGTGCCTGAAAGCTCAGGCGCACAAAAGACGGAGAAAGGATGCTGTGAGTTTTGCTTAGGGGAGGCTGGTTAGCACAGAAAACAAGTTAGGTCAGTGCTGTCAAACTGAGGAGTCGGAATGAGGAGCTTCTCATTTTCGATTAGAGTCACTGTGCACATCTTTTAATCTGCTGTGTGGCTTCTAGCATTAGCTGTCCTTATATCCCCAAATCTGCAATCCACAACTGCTCCTTTCTTCTCCTCCTTACTACTTCCCCCTAGTCCACCCTCTTATCTTAACCTTTGGCTGTGGGTGTCTGTTTAGCACAGCGATAGAGATGTGGAGGGTGAGGGAGACTGACAGTGTGCGCTCCCCTACTCAGTAAATATGAACTGCACCCAACAGACAGCCTCATTTATCACAAGGGAAAGAGCGCGGGAGAGAAAGAGAGAGAGCGGGAAAAGGGATAACAGGCTGGGACAATATGGCCTGAGCGAGCAGGAAGAGAGTGCGGGATGAGAGACATGAGAGTAAGGAGGGGAAGACAAGAATAACACAACAACTCGAGCGAGTACGGGAGGAGAAATAAGACAAGCAGACGTGATGTTTAGAGGAGTCAAATGGTGTGGCTGAAAGAATGAAAAGATGCAGGCCTTTTGAAATACTGTGAGTGAAGAAGAGAGTGCAGAGACCTTACAGTGTGACCAGATGAAGTGCTTAAAACAAAAAGTGTTTGCAATAATTCTGTCTGAGCGGATCAAAAGAGAATAGGGCAAAGTAAATGTAAGTGGGACAGAAAGGTGTGCTTGGGGTCGGTGTAATGAATAAATCTCATTTTGATCTCCAGTGATTGAACTTATTAACGGATCACAACCTGTAATCTGGCTGTGAGCGTGGATCTTGACAACTCTGATAAGACTTTAATCCTCAGTGCTGAACACAGGTACTGACCACAGAGACCAAAGGTGACTGAGCTTAAGATGCTGACTTCAGAGTCATTATCGCCTGTGTTCAGTCAGACACTACCACTCGCTATCTTAATTAAACCACTAAAGGTAAAAGTACACAGTAGATCATTCCTGCGCGTGTTGTTGTATGAACTGGCTACTGACGTTTTCACACAAAAACTTATGTAACGGGCCATCCATCCATCCATCCATCCAAATTTGATAAAATACTGCAGTTACTTTATATTTTATCACCAGCTACTTTATTGATTTCAGCCTAATCAACATAAATATATTTTTTTATGAAGCAACCAACTTCAGTGTTTAGATTTTTGTATTTGAATTTAATTCAATAGTATTGAATCAGAGCCTTTATTCTGCAATTTTCTAAACTAATTTGTGTTGATATCACATTGTAATCATTGCCTATATCATGTAGTTGTATAAAATCCTTTTCAATAGTTGTGGATACTTGTAATTAAAGGCTCCTGTAATGAACTAGGCCTGAGTAGACTAATATCCCATAATTAGCACTAATAGCTGCTAACTCAAAGCCAATTGTCTGCCAATAAGAACCATGTACATTGCCCTCTAGTCTTCGTTATGGTCAGTATCTGACCTCTGCATTCCCAAAGACTAAAGGGCGGTTTGTATTCAAATTTGCGTTCAGCAATGTCCAACCGGGGTCTCTGCTCTATCTCTATCCACCAAGGAGTCCTATAGGCTGAAAAAGGTTGAAGACTCTTGACTTAGATGAGATAAGAAATAGGAATGATAGTACTGTAGGCTGTTCGTAGTTCGACTGCAGAGTTTCTGTTGACTTACGCCACTGCTTGCTACACATTGTTATGAGCTGAAAGGCTTCAAGCAGGTCTATAAATTAAATCAAGGCCACGATAAGGAAATTGACAGAGAGAGTAGTGCCCCAATGAAAGCAATTGGATGCTCGTAAAACGATCCCTGGTGGGCCCTCTATATCTCTTTCCTAGGTGTGTATTCTCCACTTCTCCTCTTGACATTCCTTCTTTTTTATCCCTCCAACACCTCACTTAGCTCTTACACTCTCGAGCATGTTAAATGCTGTTCTTTTCGCTGTTTTAATTT